GGTAGTGGCATCTCTGTACTCACGTTGCATCCAGTTTCCGCTCACTGGGCTGAGGAAGTTGGGGTAGAGGCCGAAGGGCTTTTCAATCTTCCTGAGGACCTTCCGGATGTTCCTGACCTGCCAAGATACAAACGCCAGACGCCCCTTCACTTTCTGGAAGGAGCCAGTGACTTTCAGCCGATGAGGACGGAGAAAGCTTGTTTGGATCCACAGAGGAAACCACTCCGAGGAGGCAGGAGGGAGAGCTTCGTAACCAACAGCAGGCCGCGGCCCGGAGGTGGCAAGACGGGGCACGGCAGGAGACAGCCACTGTGGGGCCTGGCCGCTGCCTCTGCACGGACCACTCTGCCTGGGGCCCTGCTAGGCCCCCACGCCCCCCTCACTTCGCCCCTTCCTCACTGTGCATCACTCCGGGGGATGGGCCTTTTCTGAAGGGGGCGTGGTTCCTATAAGTGATAGCAGCTCATGTGTAAGTGCTAGTAGGTAAAACTGCCTTTTTCGTGGGTCAGAAATGGTCAGACACTGGCTCTTTCATATGGTTCAGCCTAGGAATATGTTATTTTCTCTGACACCACAGGAACCATTCCAGAGGAAGGGCCTGGGCCCCTCAACACCCCCCTGCCCTAAGAGGCATCTCAGGGTTTTCACGACAACACTACAACAGCTGGTAACATTTCTCAGTCCTTCTGAGCCAGGCCCATTATAAACACATTACCTCCAACCCTGAGAATAACCTTTGTGGTATTATCTCTGTTTAACAGATGACAAACCTGGGCCTCAGAGTTTCGGCGACTTGCCCCTGGCCACTCAGCTCATCAAGTGGCAGAGCCAGGACACGAGTCACGTCTTGGCTGACCACACAGAGTCGCCCCTGTGTCCAACACGGATCAGGGCAGGGACCGTGCAGCGCGTGTAGCAGAAGCTGCCCCAGCTGGAGTGAGAAGAGGCGCGATTTGCCACCTTCGGGGCTACAAAGGGCGAGAAGCAGGAAGGCTTCATTCATCCCTTGGGGTCTGCTCTCTGGCAGCACAGGAAATCCTTCCAGCACAGAATCCAGCAGAACAGAAAGGCCCTCAGGGACGGTACTATATCATGCTCACAGATTTATCTACAAGACGAGGAGCAGGGAGAGCAGCAGCCTTTTAGCTGTCAGACCTTTCTTTCCAGGGGACAGCACTTTGCTCTACCACATGAGATTTCATATCCATTTATGTTAGCGGAGTCCATTATGGGGGACAGGGATGTGCTTGTACCTGAGTTATTCTCGACTGTCCTGGTGGTGAGCAGTGAAGCAGGCTAAATTAGCTCCCCTGGAGGGTGCGGGTGCTTTTAGAATTTGGGCCAATTTGTTGACTGCCAATAATCGCCTCTGTGGGAGGCATGATTGGGGGATGAAAATAGCCAGAGAATGTAAATGTAGAGAGAGACAGAGAGACAAGCAGATGGACTTGAGGGGGGAAAGCCTGAAGCCTGCTATACTAATCTGGTCTTGAAAGAACGTGGGCTTCAGAGTCAGGAAGTCCTGGGCTTGAATCCTGGCTTTCTCACTTACCAGCTGGATGACCCAGGACAAGTGACTTAACCTCTGAATCTCAGTTTCCTCCTCTATAAAAAGGGGACAACAAGGGGACTCACCTCAGGGTTTGGAGGGGTGATTAGGGATACTATAAGGCACCCAGCACATAGGAGGTGTTCAGGCAGTGGTAGCTAGTGTGTCCAGACTAGCCAGGGACTAGAGTGAGCTCCCTGTCCCTCTCCATCGTAAGCCAGTCACAACCTTCCCGGAGGAATTTGGCTCCATGGCAAAGGAAACACGGAGGCTGGGGGAGGCAGGGCTTGGAGGTAGGGAAAAAAGGATAGGAAAATAAGACTGATCAGGAAGTGGGATTCAACTTACTCCATGAACTTTCAAGATGGGGTCCCAGGGTGGCAGAGTCCTCCCAATACAAGGGAAAAGCTTCTGAAGTGCAGGTCTGACATGACAGGCCATTTAAGGGGGGCGGGTAGTGAGCCCCAACACAGAGGAAGTGATCAAGGGGCTGAAAAGCTCTTGAGCTCCCCGAGAATGCTCAGAGGGATTCCCACACTGAATAAGCGCTTCTCCTACACCTGGCATCAAAAGACACATGGGTGCTTATTGAAAATGCAGATTCCCGGCCTGGGGGGAATCCCAGAGATGTGTTTCCTCACAGGAGTGCAGGGTGATGCTCTGAGGCTGGATGGTGGACTCCAGACTGGGAGCCACCGGGTGGGGGCGTGAATCTTTGCTCTCCCCGTGCTCCTAGGACTCCAAGAGGCTAACATTCAGAGCAGGGAAGGCTTTGGGGGTGGGGGCCTCCGAAGGGTTCTCCTTGGAGGCGGGGCCTCATCTCCCTGGGCGGGACTCAGGAAGGGACAATTGCCTTGGGGCCCGACCGCCATCTGAGGGTGGCCATCTGAGGGTGGTACGTATATGCTTCCCCTCCTCCGGTTTGGGGTCAGACCCGGTGAGACACCTGCAGGTGGTGGGACTGCCACGGGCTGTAACGTGGAGGAACTGCGTCTTCCGGAGGGCTTCGCGGAGAGGCAGGAGCGGACAGCTGTCAGACTGGATGACAGCCTGGATGCTATAGCTCTCAGCACCCCCGTGGCCTCAGCCAGCCTGGCACCAGCGAGGGAGAACAGACGTGCGCCTCAGCTGCGGAGTGAGACCGCTTTGCCAGCCTGCTGACAGCACGAGCTAGGCGGGCATCTGGAAGGGAAAGGCAGGCAGATCTCACACGAAAAAGTTAACTGTCTCTGGAAAGGGGACTTTTGCAGCCGGTGGCCAATTCCTGCCAAGGCGAGCCGGTGCCTGGATTTCCGTTGCCGAACTTTCTCTGGGTCCGACGGCACCAGTGAAAACCTTCCGGCAGCCTCACCTCTTCCCTGCCCTGGCAGGGCCCTGATTACTCCCTGTGCTCACCTTCCATGCCACCTGGCTTTGGGCACACGCACGGCTTCCACGAGCAGCCACGGGCCGTCTCAGCGGTGGCTGGTCGCCTTCCAGGTCCCCACCGGCCACCCTGCTCATCGCTGACCCACTTTCCTGTGGCGCTCCCGGTATGGAGAACAGGGAGGAGCTGGGAGAAGACTTGCCTTTTCTGCGAACACCTGGTTGCCAGAGAGCTCGGTGAGGTGTAAGAACTCCAAGTGCAAGGACCCGAACTCCGCCAGGATGCTGCTGCTCCCTGCCATGGCCCAGCCCCAGCTCCTGTTGGAGCTGCTGTGAAAAGACAGAAGCACCTGTCACCCCACTGTCTGTGAGGCTGGCTCCCATGCTGGGAGTGACAGGGATTGCTTAGTGGGGGATCCATCGATCACCCACTAGCGTCAGGCCATCTGCTCTCGGATGCTCCTCCCCGGGGGTCAGTATTGCCAATGGCCCCATTTTGTGGATGAGGACACTGAGGCCAGCGAACTGACCTGCTGCAGGTGATTTGAAGCCAGACCCGTCTGCCTGCACGACTCTTTGTTTCCATCGTCAAGCAGCCCCTGTGAGGCCTCTGGGCCCAAGGACGGCAGCAGAGCTGTCTCGGTGGCCAAGACCTGGCCCCCAAGTCATGCCCAATTTACAGGTGAGATCGATCACAAAGACCCCACAGAACACGTTCTGTCCTCTGAAGGCAAGCCAACCGCTTCACAGTCAGTGGTGCTGCCTGTGGAGAGTACATGGCTGTGGCTGGGTCACAATGGGGGCAGATGAAAAGCAGGAACCCCTCCTGGCCCTTTCCCCCTCTCTCCCCACACTGTCAGTGCTGCCCAAGGGCACACAATGGCCCCTGCCTGGAATTCTGTGGAACCCATACCCATCAGGCAGGTGTCTCTGGCGTGCCCACACGCCTCGAGCTGCTGGATCCCGAGGTTAGGAACAAAAGAAACAGGGGCTCTCGGAGCAAAGGTTTGCTCAGCTGTTGATCAGGCATGTCTCACGAACGTCTTAGAGAGATCCTAGCCTGGCCCTGTGACCTCGCTGGAGAAGGCTGTCGACTAACCGTTTCCAGGACCTGGGTGCCTCTAAGGAGGAACTGTGCAGAGTCTCAGGTAACCCTCCCATCTGCCCCTTTCACAGATGAGGACAACAAGGCCGGGGATGGTGATGTCACCCATTCTCAATCACAGGTGGAGCACCCGGGGCCCAAGGCTGGCCTGACGACAGAGCTTGTCCTAACCATCGTGTGGGCTGCCTCTCTTTAAATTATATGATAATAAGTAAGGCTGCTGCCTTCCCAGGTGCTTTCACTTAAATCTCCCTGGCACCTGTAGCCAGGGGGCCAGGGTCAAGTTTGTTAGCTGAGCGGCTTTGGGCAAATCATCCCCTCCTTATGCACCTTAGTTCCTGCATCATCAAGCTGGGCAAGAGTAATTGGTCCCGGTCTCTGTTCCTAGGTCTTTTGTGGGGTGAAGAGGGAGGAGAAAAGTGCAGGGTGGGAGTGGCCTTGGGCAAGCTGCTGCTTCTCCCTGTGCCTCAGTTTCCTCATAATGTATCATGATGATCTTTCCTGTGGGACAGAGCAGCGTGGAGTGAGTGCCCTCTATTTGTAGGGGCTACAAGGTACAGCCTGAGGGGGGCTGGCTCTGCCCTGGCCTCCGGAAGCCCCTCTGCTTCCTTGCTGGGATAGCTGTGCCTCCCCAAGAACTGGGCTCTGTCTCTCTGTCTCCCCAGGACAGGACCTAGGGAGGCAGGCGTGGGAGAAGATGGGTTTAGGAGATCATGGTTTGCCATCTGAGGGACACTCCTTTTTCTGGGGTGGGCTGGGGCTTTTCTGAGGCAGCCCCTCTCCTCTCTAAACTCCATTATCCAGCCTGGATATAGTTTCTGAAGTCAAATTCATCAGTCTCAACTTCCAGAAACAAATGGAGGACTCCAGTGGCCTCCATAAAGAGATGACCACTGGTCCCTTTTTCCTGTCTCCACCTCCTTGGTATTTCCCTGATTTGGAGGCAGGAGGCAGATCGGGAGGGATGGGTTGCATAGAGAGGGGAGACTCACTCTCGGATAATAAATAAAACAGCTTCTGTTTATTGAGCCACTAAAGATACCGGGCCCTGGATCAAGCTGTTTGCATCTTGACTTCATTTAAACCCCACAAGGTAAAATACCATTATTCCCAATATGCAAAGAGGAAACTGAGGCTCAGAGAGGGAAGTAAGTTACTGGAAGGTTGGAGCCGGGAGGTGGTGGAGGTGGGATTCAGACTGGGCTCTGCACATCCCCTAACGGTCTCCCACCCAGATGACCCCACATCGACCCAGAGGGAAGGGGAAGGTGTCCCTTCTCTGTCCCTTTTCCTTCAGGCTAAGTGAGACTTCTCTTTCCAGCTTTCTTAGTGGGAGCCGTGGGTACCCACAGAGGGATTCTTGAATAATGGATGTTTCCTGCCCTCGCAGAGAAATTCAAGGTCAAAAAAGCCGCCAGTCACCCCCTCCCCCGTCTTTTGTTCTCATTTGCCTTCACATGAGCCTCTCCTTCCTCTCCCCTCCCTCCCAACAATTACCCTCCCGAGTGGGCTTCCTGCAGCGGAACCAGCCTGGCAGACAGGCACACAAGTGCCGGGCAGAGGCGGGCAGTGGGCGGTCGCCTTCCCTCTCCCCTGCCTGCCTTCAATGCCGGATCCCTCAGCACCCGGCCAGGCGACTTCGGGCTGGTCGGTTGATCTCTCTAGAGCTCAGTTTCCTCATCTGTTAAATGACAGTACCCACACCTCATAGAGTTATTGTGAGTTATAAATTAGGCATGTAATTGCCGTCATTTTTAACATTAGCAATTATGCACATATAAATTATGTGTTTGTAGTTTATTAAAATTATTACTCGTTTGAGTGACTGAGTTCCTGATAGGTGCCAGGCAGCTCTAGCACCTTATCTTCACAGCCAACCTCAGAGGTAGATCCTGTGATTCTTATTTCAGACTCAGAGAGGGGGAGACACTTCTCCAAGGTCACAGAGTAAGTGACAGAAATGGTAGCGTTGAATCCGAATCCAAATCCAAATCCTAGCTACCGTGTGCCCCAGCTGCATGTATTCTAGGCAGCATCCAGAGACCAGAAGGCACGTGGATCAGCCCTGCGAGGCCACGGGCTCACGGAAGGTCTGCCCTCTGCCCCGTCCCGGTCTCTGAAGCCTGCAGGTGCGTGTGCAGCCTGTGTTCTCCCCCGCTGGGGGAAGGGTTGCTCATCAATGCCCCTCCCCAGCATGGCAGAAACTCCCGCGTGTCTGTGCATGTCTGTGTGCGCGCTCACGGGTCTGGTATAATTGTTCACTTTGGAGCCAGACAGACCCGGGTTCTAACTTCACTCTACTGCTGTGTGACCTTGGGTAAGTGACCTCACCTCTCTCAGCCTCGGTTTCTCCACTGGTGAAATGGGATCTGTGAGGTTGAAAAGAGAGAATGCATATCATGTGTTCACACTGCGTGTAGCACACAGTGACATGCTCACCAAACACTAGCACTTATTTATTTTTTTTTTTTTTATAAATTTTTTTTTTCAACGTTTATTTATTTTTGGGACAGAGAGAGACAGAGCATGAATGGGGGAGGGGCAGAGAGAGAGGGAGACACAGAATCGGAAACAGGCTCCAGGCTCTGAGCCATCAGCCCAGAGCCTGACGCGGGGCTCGAACTCACGGACCGCGAGATCGTGACCTGGCTGAAGTCAGACGCTTAACCGACTGCGCCACCCAGGCGCCCCACTAGCACTTATTAAGGTGTGTATGTGTGTGTGTCTGTGGCAGGGGTGTGCGAATGGAAGTGTTTGTGTGTGAGTGTAGGGACGCTAGAGAGGGTGACAGGCGAGGTTGCGTATCTCCGCCTGTATGATTTGGGGGGGGCGGCAGTCGAGTGTGGCACAGAGATTAGTCCTTGGACTGGCCACTGCCACTCAGAGGGTTCAGTGGTGCCCGCAGGTCACAGGTCACAGCTGTCCCTGCCTCTGCCTCCCAGGCAGGAGGAGCAGTCACGCTCACTTCGGGCAGGGCCTAGTTACGCACCCCTCCTGCTGGGACCCCGTCTGGCCCTTCCTCATAGAGCTGCCCACAGCGAGCCCTGCCCGGGGCAGGGACAGCAGCGTGTGCCCCAGCTCCCACCAGCTGGCCCTCTCCAAAGCGCAAACTCAGCGCCACGCGGGCCGGGCAGTACTCATCCCTGACATTCCCCCGGGGTGGAACAGGGATGCATTTTTAGCAACAGACTCTCTTACCCAGAAAATGAAAGGGAGGAGTTGCCAGGAAATATGCATATACATACATATGTATACAGCACTGACAGCATGCAAATGGCCTAAAACTAAATGCACTTTCTTAATCAGAAATGTCAGGATCTGTGTCGCATCCGGTCCCGGCTCTGAGGGACAGGGGTAAGGCAGACAGCCCTGCAGGGCTGTGGTCGCAGGGCTTGGGGGCGCGCAGTGCCACGCACAGAGGAGGGAAGGACGGTGAAGCTAAGGTCCTATCCCAGACTCAGGCAGCGAGGCCGGGGAGCTAGCCCTGGGAGAGAGAGCCGCAAAGATACTGTGTTTGTGTCTCCTCCCTGACGGCTGGCTGCGTTTCTCCAGGATCGGTGTTTGTGGGAAAGGGATCTGAGCAGAGCTCCAAGGGCCCGGCTCTGAGACATCAGCCCCGGCACTGAGGACGGGATTCGGTTGGCCCTGAGGGCCCCTCTGTGGCCTCTGCTGGGATTTATGTGATGTCACACCCCAGGAATGTTTTCCGATCAGACAGTAAGTAAAGTGGCAAAGCAGCGTATGTGTCCCCTCTCTTTTGTGAGGCCCCAGGCAGGCGGACCAGGAGAGTGGGACCTCCCCGGGACAGAGAGGAAGCCGACATGCGACCAGAGCCCAGAGCCCCTGCCTCCGGTGAGGCGCCCTCCTTCCCTCCCGGGCAGCTGGCTGGAGCCACTGCTGGATTGAGAGTCCTGACGTAAGACGTCACTTCAGGGGGCACCTGGGTGGCTCAGTCAGTTAACTGCCCGGCTTTCGGTTTTGGCTCAGGTCATGATCTCAGGGTTCATGAGTTCGAGCCCCACATCAGGCTCTGTGCTGATGGTGCAGAGCCTGCTTGGGAGTCTCTCTCTTTCCCTCTCTCTCTGTCCCTCCCCTGCTCTCTCTCTCTCTCTCAAAATAAATAAACTTAAAAAAAAATCTTTCATTAAAAAAAAAAGACATCACTTCAGGAGAGGGAACAGGAAGTCTGGTGAGGTGGACTCGGGGTTCTCGGAGAACATCGCGAACAGCCCCAGGGAGCTCCTGGGTGCCTCCTACAACATCTCCCAGGGGTCTGCTCCTGCAGCGCGGGGGGTCAGCATGGGTCCTGCCTGAGGGAGGGCCAGGCAGGTGTTCAGAGCAGAGCTTTCAGTCTGTAACAAAATGGGTTGGAATCTTAGCCCCAGTTACCTATTGGCTGTTAAGACTTTGGGCAAGTTACTTTTCCTCTCTGAGACTCTGTGTGAATAAGGGGTCATATAAATATCTGCCCTCAAGATAAATATCTGCCTCAAGATCCTGCCTTCAAGAAGCTCCCAGGCCAGCAGGGAACAGGAAGAGGCACGCGACGAGGCCGTAAGGAAGCAAACGAAGTGCCTGGAGGCCAGGAGAGGCTGAAAGGCTCCTGGCTTGATGGCACAGGTGGCATGTGAGCCAGGCTTTGCTGGCCAGGGAAGCTGGGAGAGGAGGGCAACCGGTGGAGGAACAGAGTGAGCAAAGGCAAGACAACGGGGCACACGGGGGTCCCCAGAAGCCAGACTCATGCTCGTGAAGATTCACACATCATGAAGCTGGCTCGCCATTAGTCCTCTGGACTGTGACCCTGTCCTTTCCCCTCTTTGGGTCTTAGTCGCCACACCTGGAAAGTGAGTGGATATAAACACGCTCCCGTCCCCACGAGAGGGAAGGGTAGCAGCGCGGAGGGGGGCAGGCAGGCACCCCACGGGCTCTGGAGCTGGACCCAGCTGCAGCCCCTGCTCTGCTCTTCTCAAACTGGACCACTCAAGGTCCCCTCCACTCGGGCATTCTGTGACTTAGTGACTACCCAGAAAGTCTCAGGTTCACACACTGAATTAAGCAACAGATCAGGAAGCAAAATCATGGAAGCAGCCAATAAGAATCAACGTTTTAATACCGAGCCAGTAGAACAGAAGCATTACCGGTGCTTTCTGTGACTAGTGGAACCACATGGGAGTTTTCTGCTCTTATCTAACACTTTTGGTATAATCCACATTATCTGCAATGAGAAGTTATTATTTCTAAAGAGGGGGAAATTCCAATAAGAATGATCAAAAATGGAGTTGGAAGTCCTGGGTTTGTGTCCTGGAATGGTCAGTCGGTTACTGGCTTATGTGACCTTGGCCAGGGCCTTCAATCCTTGGAGTCTGAGCTTCTGTGACCTTGATGCCCCCCAGAAGCCCTTCTGGGTTCTGACACTGGGTTCCTGAGACCCAGCCCTGCTGGGGCCAAGGGTGGCAGTCGGCAGACCAGGGGTCCCTCTGCTCAGAGTCTCGAGACTCCCTAGCAGTTTGGGGCACCTCCTCATGGCAGGAGGGTGTGATGTGCCTATTGGCTGCTGACCCTAGCTGGGGAGGGAAGTGAATGGGGTACACCCGTAGGGCGGTGAGTCAAGGCAGTGTTGGGGGATGATCACAGAACAGCTGCCCCTCCACACCTCAGGAAGATCAGGTCTTATGAAACCTAAGCCCCAGGTGTGGTGACAAACACCGGCCTTGGAGAGTCCTTGGCTAAGGCTAACCTCCACTGTGCCACTGGCTCGCTGTGATTCCCAAGGCAGGTACTGTCCTCTCCCTGTGCCTCAGTTTCCACACCGAAGAAGCCAAAGCCAGAAGTGGGAAACCAGCAGATGTCCTACCTTTTGAAGTTCACAACACCTTTTGGGATTCCCGTGGGGGTGTTGAAGGCGGGCAGGAGTTTCTCTCCCAGCTTGATGGCCTTGATTCGGAACACCTGTAAAGGAAGAAGCATGGGGCATCGTGAACGGGGCTGGGTGGGCGCCATCACTTCGAGAAGCTGCTCCCGCCGGTGGATGAACCCAGGAGCTGCTGGCCCGGAGTGGGAGGTGACGCTGTGTTGGGCTCTGGAGTCAGACAGCCTTGGCTATGAACCCGGGTCCTCGAATTCCTGGTGACGTGGCCTTAGTCGAGGCACCTCTCTCCGAGCCTCGGTTTCCTTTCTCACTCATAACACAAGGCCACTACCGCCTTCCTCAGAGGCTGTTGGGAGGAATGAAGATTAGGTAATAGCTGTAAAGTCCTCACGGCAGTGTCGGGACTCTGAAGGCTCAGTGATTCCAGCTGTGCTCCGGGTGGCCGCCGGGAGGATGAAGTAGCCAGGGCCGCCGTCACCAATGGACCAGGACACCACGGGCTGGGTGCGGGGGAAGTACGTTTGGACAGGGTGTGAAGAGCACTGGATTAGGAGTCCTGCCCCGCCCCAGGTTCAATCCCTGCCTCCCAATTTGGCTGCTGTGTGCTTCCCAGCAAAGCACTGCCGTCCCACGTGTGACACCAGGGGTGGGGGGTGGGGCCTTTCCCCCTTGACATTCTGAATCTGCCCACGGTTCCCATTTTTTAGATGGGAATGAACGGAAAAGGTGAATGGGGGTCCCAGGCCTCAGGGCCCTGCGGGAGGCTCTGACCCCTTCAAACTGTTCTAATTCAAAAGCACCTGTGACTTTCTGACGCCACAGTTTCCCTCTTAGGAATTTATTCTAACTAAATAAGTAATGAAGGATGTTGTAAAGATTTAACTTTACTTCAAGGGAAACATGGGAAACATGAGAATATTCTAAATATCAAACAATAGGGAAGTGGTTAAATTATGGCTTGTCCAGGCAATAGAATACCGTGCAGCCACTGGCATGATGCAGATTATTTAATAGCAAAGAAAGGGGTTCCAGTTCATTAAAAGAAAAAATATACTTTGAAACAGTGTAATTCAAAGTTAGTAAAAATTACATGCACACGGATGCGTGAGAAAGGGTTGGGAAGGAAATACACTAAAATATTAACAATGGTCTCCTAGGGGTAGGGGGTAGGCTCGTGGAGGAATTTTGCTTTCTTCATTTGGCGTATCTCTATTTCTGTGCTTTTTTTTCATAATAAAAACAAGCCCACAGTAAGTAGTATTTATTTTTTAAAACGTGACTATTCCGGGTGGAACAACACACGTTTCCTTTCATTTCCGGAGCTGGACCTCCTGAGTGTTGCAAAACAAAGTCATCTTGAGTTCCCAACCCCAATATGCACAATATATGGGCTGAGGCAGCTGTGGAGGGATGGCTGCGGGGCAGTTTGCCGGATCCGGCTGGGATGCGGCAGAGAGGCCTTGGAGGGCAGGTGTGGTTGTTGCTGGGGAGAGGAGGGGTGGGAAGGGAAGAGTCACATGTGGGGCCTGGCAGTGATGGGGACAGAAGAGGATAGTGTCCAGTGCCAGACAGAGGGTCCCAGAGGTGGGCACAGGGGCCAGCCACACCACAATCCCCGAGGAGCTTGTCTAGGACCCAGATTCCAAAGCCCTCTGCCCCAGAAGCCACCGGTTCAGCAACAACAAAGGGCTCTCCTTCGAGGCTCCTGACATCATCACTTGACCCCTGGGAGGCTGAGCACTGAGGCACAAAGGAACCCTCCAGAACCTGAACCCGAGGCTGAGGCTCCAGGCAGCCGACTGGCTGTCTTCTGCCCTGAGGACTCCTAGAAGATTTCTTCTTAAGTGCTCTTAGGAGCACGTTATCACAAACCCCTCTGTGGGCTTGATTAATTTGCTAGAGTGGTTCACAGAACTCAGGAAACATTTTACTCACTGGATTACTGGTTTATTATAAAAGAACAGAAGTCAGGAAGAGTCAGATGCAAGTGATGCAGAGGGTTAAGGTATGGGGAAAAGGGCATGGAGTTTCCATGCTTTCTCCAGGTGTGGCGCTCTCCCCAAATCTCCTGGTGCTCAGCCAACCAGAAGCTCTGTGACCCAGTCCTTTTGGGTTTTTATGGAGGTTTCATCACATGGGCAGGGCAATTAAACCACTGCCAACTGGCTACCGATTCAGCACCCAGCCCCTCTCCTGTCCCCGGAAGTCAGGGTGGTGGGACTGAAAATAACTACCCTCTAAGTACAAGGTTTTCCTAGCAACCAGCCTCTATCCTTTGGTGGGGTCCAAAAGTCACCCAATTAACACAACAAAAGACATATTTATTGCTCTCATCACTTAGGAAATTCCAACGGTTTTAGGAGCTCTGCCAGAAGCAGGATGCAGACCAAAAATATATATTACTTATTATAAAGCACAATACATCGATGTGTCAGTGTCTCTACATGACCTTTAATGCTTGCAACCGCCTTGTGGGGAAGATGTTGACCACTTTGAGGATGACAAAACTGAGTCTCAGAGAAGCAATTTGCCCAAGGTTGTGGAGCTACTGATACCAAGCTGCCTTTCCAACACAGAGAGAGAACACAGAGCTATATGGCTGCAGACAGCCATGGTAAGCAACAGGCAGGGCCCAGAGGTTCCAGAACAGAGGTGAGAGAGGCCAGCAAGAATTACATTCTGTAGAGTGGAAAGGTGTCTGGGCTGGGAGTGAGAGCCCAGGTTTGGATCTTCCCACTTAGCAGCTTTGTGACCTTAGGTGAGCCACTTACTATCTCTGAGCACTATAACTGTGTGCAACGGAACTGACTGTAGATGTGCCCCGGCTGTTTCACAGGGTTCGTCCGGAACTCAAACGAGAGGATGTATGTAAGTGAATGGGCCATGTGAACTTGAAGAGCCGTGCAAACATCACCTGGAGTGGCTGTCAGCAGGCTTGCTATTCTCCTGTGAGTCTTGCGGGGCTGGTTACCCAGGAGGGGACTCTCCTCCCCCAGGTTTCCTCTGCAGCAAGGAAAGGCCGCAGCCCAGGAAGGGGCTGCGGTCTCCCGCACCATTCCACAAATACTCCTGGGATATTTGAAGAATGGAAAGCCCCACTTCACAGGCACCCACTATGTGTGAGACCAAGGACAGAGAGGAGGGAGGCCCCAGTCCGGTGCAGCTGAGCCCTGGTCACAAGGAGTGACACTGGGCCAGGCTGCGTGGGGGCTACAACTCAGGCCTGTGGTGGAAAGGCCACGGGGTCACGAGCTGACCCAGCACAGCCCTCAGGGACTGCGACCTGAGCACATTCCTTCTAAGTCTCAGTTCCTACATCTGTAAATAGATGAAGACCCCCACCTCATGGGGTATTTGGGGACCAGTGAGACTGGGCTCATGTGGCACAGTCTCTGGGAACAGAGAGGGATCAGCAGGGCATGGCTAGAGGACAGGGGCTGTGCCCATAACCTCAGGAGCCTGTCTATTCAGGGATTCTGAGCCACATGGGGCTCCCTGGGCTTTGGGAACTATTTCTAAGTCACAGGCACTCCTGTCCACACCCCACTGTCCAGTCTGCATCCTGGAGAGTCAGACTGATGATCCTTAAAGTGAGATGGGGAAACTGAGGCAACGCCACGAAGGGGGGGACTGCTTTTTATGCTCCTTTTCCTGCTTCTATTCTTGCCAGGACCTGCACCTGCCTTACACACGCCTCATAGTACAAATAATGTAGCCCTCTTTGCAAGGGTCAAGGAATTAACGATTTCTTTGAAGTCTTCCAGCATGACAGATAGCATCAAGGGAATGACCAGGTAAGAATGACCGGGTGAGGCTCTCCTGTGCATATTCCAGACACTGATGCTAGACATCTCGATGCCAAGACCCCCGACTCCAAGGAGTAAGTGACTTACGGAGGACACCTGGCTCCTTGTCCTTGCTCTGACCAGTTCCTGGGTATCTGAGAGGGCATGTACATCAGACCACAATCCTCAGTAAAAACCCCAGACCCCAAAAGCAAAGACAAGACTCCTTTTCCTTCCCAAGTCTCCCAGATGGTCTGTCTGTACCTATACTCGCCCTCAGTCTTCTGCTATCACTTCTTCTTGGCTTGTGTTTGATTTCTACCCTGCATGAAGCCGAGGACCCTCTTGGCTGGTCCTGGGGCACCTCCCCTCCTCTGGGTCCTCAGACCCAGCCAGACTACATCACTAGGGAGCCAAGGCCTCAGATAGGTTTTCAGAGCCAGGATACCCTATGAGGAGGGTGGAGGCTGGGTCAAGCATCAGGACTGAGGGGCACCAGCTCCTCCCTCAATCGCTGGCCCCTCAAACTGACCCCTGAGAGCCCTGAGCTGCATGGTTCCCTCCCCTGTCCCTATCTGTACGCTATGGCCACCTTCCACAGCCATGAGTGGCAGGGAGGCTGGGCAAGTGCCTGGAAGAACAGGGTGTCTTTTCTGTTCCATGTCATTTTCCTATCCTAGGGTTTTCAAATACGATTCAGGTTTCGTGTGGCTCAAAGCCAAGGGATCCCAACCACACTGGTTTGGAGACAAATTGGTACAAGTGGTAATCTCTGCTGAGGAGATCAGGCTTGATGGAGAGGCCCAAGGTGACAGGAAGTAGAGTGTACCTATTGCCTCTGAACTCTTGGTTGCAGCTGACTTCCTCAGATACCACCACTGGAGGTTAGCAGGGATTTTTTGGCGGCTCTCCCCGCGGCAGGGGCAGGGATGATATTGTCTCAGGGTGGACAGAGCAGGAAGAAGGGCAGGGAAGGGAAAGGGCCAAGGCCAAGGCATCTAACCCCAGAGCAGCGGTTGTGCTGAGCAGCGTGACCCCTCTGGGTAACAGGGAACACAACTGATCGATGATGGCCCATGGCTGGGGACTTGGCCAGCCTCACCCCCCGATACTTGGGCTGCACTTTCATGGGACTTCTCGAAGGGAGGAAGAGCCTCCTATTTCTACAGAGCTCTGTGGTTTTCAAAATTCTCTTGTAGCACGGAGAATATGGGCTTTGGAGCTGGTCAGCTCAGGGTCAACTCCTATCCCTCCCGATCCATCTCACAAGAGCTCTGTGAGTCCATCCCCATGGTGGGGAAGGAAGTGAGGCCCAGGGGTGGGGGAGGACTTGCTCAAGATCACAGGCAGGTGTGGTGTGGGGATGAGACCCAGGTTTTCTGACTCCCTCCCTGCTCAGGGCTCTGTCTTCTCCCCACACTGCACAGTCCACCCTCTGGAAGCCAACACAGCTTGCCTGGGGCTGAGGCCTTGCACTTTGGACATGAGACCAGCCCCAGTGGCTGCCCCATCTCCCTGTTGCCCCTTGAGACCCGCAGCTGACCTCTGGCCTGTGGCTGGCAACTGGAAGGGGAGGGGGAGCGGAGGAGTGGCCGTGGAGCAGGACAAGGCTGAGGGGCCCCAGGGGTGGAAATGGCGAAACAATGGTCTTAGTTTTCTCAATGCTGAAAACTAGCACTTGCAAAAACCAGTCCAGCAGCTCTACAAGCCAGTGCTGAGCCCAGACTGCTGGGTGCTGTGCTAGGAGCTACAGGGATGGTGTGAGTAGACTAGTCATCGTCCTTGGAGAATTTACTAGCAACTGTGGGAGCCAGAGGGGCTCACCTGGGCAAGAGAAGGGAAACATCAGATGAAACATGAGAGAGAGCGAGCCTGCAGGTGGCACCGTGGAGGCTGGGCAGACATGGGCAGCCCCAGGCAAATCCCCCTGAATCCCTGCTTCCTCACTGGTGACATGAGGGAGTGGGACTGGATGTTCTCTAAAGCCTTTTCCCACCTGAATGGTCTAGGGTCCTCCAAGGGCCAACTTACCTCTTCTCCCGTCAGGTAGAAGGCTGAGAGGAGTCCCCCGATGTACCGGATGTTCACCTCAAACAAGGATGCTTCTCCACTCTGCAGGGCAGCGGGAAAGGGGAGGGCAGGGGCGGGGGACACTTGTGAGGTGCCTGCAGGGCTCCCAGGGACAGCCAGGTCCTCGAGACAGGTCACTCTGGCCGCAGCCCCCCACCCCCCGTTGATCTGGCCATACTTGTGCTGGGCTCCGGGGCCTCGCTGGGTGGTGGTTTTCGGAGCAAAAGTTGAGAGGCATCGACACCTGCTTGGCAGGAGCAAAAGTTGAGAGGCATCGACACCTGCTTGGCAGGCCACCACAGCTCGTTGACAGCATTGCAAATAAACACCAGGTTTGGCTTTCTTCTCCAGCCCTTGCCGGAGGCCATCAGAGCAAAGTTCTGCCTGGCTGTTCTCCAAGGAGCTGGAGAACTTGGTGGGGAGCTGTGGGCTGAAGATTAGCCTGAGGGGAGGCAGATTCTCTAGTCCAGCCACCTCCCCTTCCTGAGGGAACTCCTGGCCTGGCTGGACGGTAGGGCGGCCATTCCTTGGGGCGGCAGGGGGAAGGGGAATGTTCTCCCAGGAGGTTTTGGGGCAAATGGGACAAAGCCGAGGCTGAGAGGGAGGGGTGCCAGAAAGGTACTTGTAGGTAATCAGCAATCCTCAGCCTCAGCTCTGTAGCCCTCAGGGCATGTCCACACTTGCCTCAATCACTGTTTTCTTTCTTAGGTCTGGATTGTGAATCAGGGGTGTTGGGGCACCATGCCAAGGACCAGATCTAGGTTAAAATCCCACCTCGGCCTCTTACTTGGCCTTGGGACTTCGGGCAAGATATTTAGCTTTTCTCTGCCCGAGGTTCTTCATCCTGAGCAGGTGGCAACGGGGCGCTGAGTGGTACAGGTGAGACGTCCGCCCGGCGCACACGCGGTGCCTGGCGTGGCTCCCTAGAGGGGTCTGCTATTACCATCCCTGCCCCCCCAGCGCTCCCCACATCACTGTCCTTTACTGCCGACAACAACGATGACTGTCCCTTTATCTGGGAGAGCTTTTCCACTGACACAGCACCTGCGAAGCTCTTCTCTCTTTCAGCCTTACAGGGCTCCGCGAGGTTTCCGTTCCCGTTTTCCAGGTGAGAGAGCCAAGGCTCAGAGAGGGGATGTGACCCCATCTTGCTTTCTTCCAAGGACCCCGCCTGTTTGAATGTCCCCAGGCTCCCCGAACCTGCCAGCACCTGGCACCATAGGCAGCTGCCTGATGCCCATTCTCTATCCACTATCTGCACAGGGACAAGGTGGGCCTATGAAGATACCCCTTCCTTCTCCCACCTTCTCCGGATGGCTCCTCAGCCTCTCACCCATCTCTAGAGGGCGGCATGGAGTGAGCTGGGGGCTCCAGGTTAGAGCGGCTCAGAGCAGATACACCACTTCTCCCCTCCTGTTGCTACTGTTCTGTGTGACAGATTCAATCCTAGAAGGGACTTCCTGGGTGCCTGCCACCTCGCACGGAGGGGAAGGAAGGGTCGTTGGCTGTCTTCCCTCCCAGGGGACAACAGGCTGGTAAATACTCCTGGGCCGGCCAGAGCTCAACGCCACCTTGAGGCTGGTCTTAGGAGAGGGGGCTCAGCAGAGAGGGCAGAGCCCCAGTTCCAGGACTGCTCTGCTGTGCAGCTTGGGGCCAGAGTCTCTGGGTCTCAGAAGTGACCGGGTGGAGCTGGCCACTGCCCTTCCGGACCCCTTCTGGCTCCAACACCCCAAGGGTGTCTGACTCACCACGTTCAGGTGGAAGTTCTCTTCAACCCAAGCCTTGGCCTCCTGGAACTCGTCCTGCAGCTCCATGAGGTAGAGGGTGTCTAGGGAGTCAATGATGGTTGCCCCGCTGAGGCCTCCTGTAGGCACAGAGATCGGAGGCATGACCCGGGCTCATTCCTGTCCTTTCCATCCCCAGCCGCACAAGCTACCATTCTCCACGCCCCCTCTAAACGCCTAGGCAGGTTCCGAGGCCAAGGTTGGCCCAGGCACGATCCAGGGAGGCTCCAATACCACCAGCCTTTGAAGGGGAGTCCAGGAGCAAGCGTCCCCCCTCCGCCCACCCCAGGCTGCTTCCTCCTCGGGGCAGTGGCCGGGGGCCAGCCGCCTGGGACACCAAGTTCACAGGCCGAATCACTTCCCAGACCTCAGTCCACCCATATCCGCCAGCAAGCCAACCATCAGTGCCAGTCAGGCGCCCATTACTTTTCTGTGACACTGGGGAGAGGGTGAACTGGCATTTCATTTACAAAACCCTAATATGCCAGTCCTCTGACTTTTCAATTCTATTCCTTGTTTTATTCCAAGGAAAGAAAAAAAAATGTTCACAGATATTTATCTGGGAAGGTATTTATTGTTGCGGTACCATATACAATGGGGAAAAGTTGGGAAAAAACTCCAAATCCAACAATAGGGGATTATATAAATTGTGGCTCAAACATAAAATAGGACTATGGAGCCATCCATGCAGGTGACGTAGGCCTGTGTTTATTGGGGAGATATCCATGGGATCTGTTAAGTTAAAAAATGTAGGTTGCAAAAAAAAAAACCAATAAAAAACCAAACACAATATAATTTCTTTATTGTATGCCAAATGTGGATGAGCTTACACAGAACTAAGTCTGGCAAGATGTGATTCAATAGTTACCTCCCGAGTGCTGGGATTACAGGTGCCTTTTGACTTCTTCGGCTCATGGATTATTTTTATAACCAGAAACCTACTTCCATTTGGGAAAAAAAAGGGGGGGGGGATGTTTGGGCAAAGAAACCAAACAAATGCACAAACCAAAGGTTCTGTGGCCACTCTAGGATGGTCAGTCCAGAAAGCGCAAGTTCTGAGGCCTGGCCCCTGCTACTGGGCCTTAGAGTCTTATCCTGGGGAGTAAGGGCTGAGATAATGGTGCAAAATATCGCAGCTCTCCACACCACGGGCTGGGCAGGAGAGTGATGTGGAAGGCCTCCCCACGTGGCACAACCACAGCCTGAGTGTAGAGTCCCATGAAGGAAGAAAGGAGGGAGAAAGCGATGTGCCCGGGGCCATCTGGAGGGCTTCCTGTAAGAGACAGCTGCCTCCTTTAAAGTAAAGTAGCAGCAAATCCTTTAGATACTGGCATGTAGCTCAGGAGGACTGACGGTTCCGCCTTGAAGAGGCTCAGTGAGGACCGCAGGCTCCACCTCCCCCCTGGAGGAGCTTTGGAGCGCACAGGGCTGAGCCCCACTTGAGTCTGAAGCACGAGCTCGGGCTTTGCGGGCACACCTGCATTCAGAGTCAGCCTCTAATCTCCTTAATTAGCGCTTCTCTAACTACTCACTTGTGTTGATTTTGCAGGCAGAGACTCCTGAAACTCAAACCACCACCTTCCTAGGCCTGGAAAAGGATGAGAGGGAGATCAGGAGAAACTGGGAGAAGGGTAAAGCTGGAGGCTTTAGAATCTGCTTCCAGAAGCAAGGGCTCCCCAATCCAGAGTCAGGCATCCCAAGATGGTTTTGGTATTGGGGATGAAGTGAATTTCCAGAACGTCAACTCCTCCTACACTGAAGGATTGGTAGGAAAACACCCAAGTCAAACAAAGTTGAACTTTCCTGGTTTATGCTGGCTGCTTCCCCTGTGGTTGTCAATGGCCAAACCCGGTTCACAGGGACGCTTTACCGTCAGATGAAGAGGCAGTGGGGCATGGGAACGCCCATGGGCCCGAGATGCACAGATGCCGAGATGCGCCCGGCCACGGAGCACCAGCTGGTGTCCGTCCTCTTGGCTCTGAAGCTACGGCCCCCTCCTGTTACACCACAGGGCCTCACACCGGATTTTTTAAGGGCCAGAAGGGATTTTTAAGATCCCACTGCCCCGCCCCTAAATTTCATAGAGGGCCCCCAGAGAGGGGTTGGGACATACCCAGGATTAGATCAAAGGCAGAGCAGAACCCAACTTCTCTCAATTCCTTGTGAAAACAGTTGGATCTGATTGATAACCCTGCCCTATCCCTCCAAGGGACAGGAGGCCGCTCTGACCAGGGAGGGCCTGAAGAGAAGCCCAAGGCCAAGGGGACGAGACCCAGGGTGTCTGATTTCTGAATCCTGCCCTGAGCTGTCCAGTGTTTTTACCCCAGGGGCCTTCCTTCCCTGGGCTGAGCCTGAGCTCAGAAGCCCAAGGGTCTAGGCTGGGCCACAAGGGCAGCCAGGGCTCCTCGTGACCAGCTCTCCTTCCCAAATGCTCCGGAGGCCCCGGCTGAGAAGGTAGCTCGCTAAGGGAGCTTTTGGCAAAGTTCTGCCCGGCTCTCAGGTTCCTGTATCCTTCCTCAGTTGACCTCTCACCCAGGCCCCCACCTACCACACAGCCGGGCTGCGGGCCAGCAAGGCACTTATTGGAAAGCCTTTCATTCCCGGCCAGAGGTTACCCAGTGGCCAGGCTGGGCCAGAGAGAAGGCCCAATCCCGAATTCAACTCTATCTGTACCTGCAGCTGGCCTGGGGCAGCTCCCCAGGGGAAAACACACAACCCTATTCAGAGAATAGGTACTCGATTTAGACGCACAGAGCCGAAGGGGGACAAAAAGGCAGGCAGCCAGCTTGAAAGTTCCACTGGCCTTGGCCCTGAGACAGGTTCCAGGTTGGCTCACTCTCCCACTTCTAGCTCTGAATGCTCATTGTGCACAAAGGACACCTCCCCC